CTGTTGATCTCGATATTTTATAAATCTGTTGTTAAATAATATAAATAAATATTAGAATAGATAAATCCAGACTTAATCTCAGCGTCTTTGAGAGAAGTCAGAATCAGATCTTGTCATTTATTGGCTTTTACATCAACATTATATACATGTTGAAATCTATTGTGCAGAAAAAAGAAATAAACGATTCAATGTGAATGCCACTAAATTGGATTATATACGTTTTATATTGTCAAAGCTGTGTTTGTTGTTATACTGACATATTAACATTGTCGTGTTTATCAAGTGTAATCAGGTTTAATGCATCAGTTTACTGAAGTTTACGATCTGAAGATTCTGGTTCTGGCTATTTGCTGACATCTTAGCGTCAAAAAATACTGCATGATACAGTCCAATTCAAAATGAAACCTTTATTCAAGTTCATAGAAAACATCAGTTTCCAGTTGAATCATCAGAAAAGTGCTGAACAGAACAACAACAACAACAACAACAACCAAAGTGATCAGGTGAAATATTGGGATTATTGGTGTGAGGAGGGAAGGAGGAGCCTCCATTGCCCAGCAATGTTTCCTCCTCACAAACTGATTAAACTTAAAGATCTGAACATTCACAGACCAGACAAACACGAGGAGATTCAGTTTGCTCCCTGTGGGTCCGTGGATTTAACGTGGGACTGAGGTGAGTTTCTAACATCACGTCCCTGCAGGTTTGTATCGTGTTTCTCTCGGACGTCTGCTGCTCTGGAGATAAAACCTGAAAAGACTTCAGGGCTTCAAAGTGCCTCAAATACCTCAAGATAACCAAACGTCCTCATTCCTACAGACGCTCGGATTCCAAGAGTCCAAAACATTGAACTCCTGTTTCATACCAGAAAACATTCACTCATACAAAAAGTCCACATTTGAATTTAGAAAAACATGTTTTGTTATTTGAACTTAATTTGTTAGTAACTTAGATTTGGGGAGGAGCTCTCTTCATGTGGTCTGATCGAAGCCCCTCTGTCCACCCTCGTCTTCCTCTGAGCTCCGCACCCGTCCCCTCACATGATGGGGTAGCTGGCGAGGTTGGCGATGCCGCAGAGGTTGTCACGGTTACGTGCCATCAGGATGTAGCCCTTTTTGCCCCAGTTCTCGCTCCAGCTGTGACAGAGAAGGAGAGAGAGAGAGAGAGAGAAGTGAGAGGGTGTCGCCGGGAGTCAAACAGAATTTCCCGTCGTCAGTTTGTCATCGACGTGTCCGACAGAAGCATCACATCACATCACATGATGAGCCACCTGCTGCCGACAGACGGGTGACGTGTCCCACCTGTTCTTGATGATCCAGTACTTCTTCCCCTTGGAGCTGATTCCGTAGCCGACCGCCAGCACGGCGTGATTGATGTCGTCTTTGTTGCAGTTGCGGTCGTAGTAAACACCTGAGCACACGACGGAGGATGAGAAGAGACCCTGAGCTCAAACCGCTTCTTTAAGTCGACTTTTAAAAACAATGTATCCGCTAAGACCCCAAACTTGTTAAATGTTCAGTGTGTAGGATTTAGTGACGTCTAGTGGTGAACTTGATGTTGCAGCTGAATGTCCCTCACCTCACCCTCCCCTTCCAAACAGGAAATATAAAGAACTGATTCTAGAATAAAAGTAAACAACAATTCGTACAACAGTTTCTGTAAATAGATCCTTTTCACCTGAAGCTTACACACTGAACCTTTAAAACTCATCACGATGCTGCGTTCAGAGCACGATGTTCAGCTTTCATGCCCTAAATCTAATTCACGTTTGGTTTGGACAGAAGCCGCTCAACACATTAACACGTGAGGAGAAACAAAAAGCCCATTTTAACTGAAATAACAGAAATGATAACAATGGACGGATGAGCCCGTGTCAGCAGACGTGTGGTTGGTTCTCTCACCTCTCTGGTAGAACTGGAAGCTGCTCTGTGAGGCGTCGATGCCGACAGACACTGGACCCACTTTAAACAGAGCGACAGCCAGAGCGTGCTCATCGCCCACGGGCACTTCCTTATAGCCTTTGCACTGAGCCGCCATTCCTGAGGAGTTGTAGCGGCACGACTGGTCCTGCAGAGGAGAGGAGTGAAAGTATTAGTTTCTAGTTTCTTTGAATCACTGGAAAAGAAAATGGACGAAGAGGGAAACCAATCAAAGCTGTGTTAGACGAGGCATTATGGTTTATTGTAAAAGTTTGTTTGTGCAAGAAATTGATTCATTGACAAGAAAGCTCAGGATTCATATTCTATCTAAAAGTGTCCGTGGGACCTCCTCACCTCTCCGACGTACGGGTACGCCTCCTCAGAGTCGATGCCTCCGTTCTCCTGGACGTACTGGAAGGCGTTGGTCATGTATCCTCCTCCGCAGCCGTTGTTCTCGGTGACACAGTCCACCAGGTTCTGAGGACTGAGGTCCATTAGCTGACCCGTCTTCTTGGCCAACTGGCCCTCCAGGGCCCCGGCGGAGCTGAAGGCCCAACAGGAGCCACAGGAGCCCTGTCATGAAAGATTCAAGAAATTAAAAACTACAAACATGTTTCTCCAGGTCATGTAAATAAAGAATTTAAATATGAGCACTGATTATGTAGAATCCAGGTTTTGAGAGCTGCAGGACAACATCCTGTGAGAATAAGGATGGAGAGATGCAGCCTGTTTCTTCTCCTGTCTGTCCACTAGAGGGCAGAATGTGACCACTCAGAGGTGTGAACATTTTACGATTTCTATTTCACGTTTCAACGTCACATCCTTCCACCGAGTTTCATTAAAAATCACTTCAGTAGTTTTTGTGTAATCCTTCAAACAAACCTGCGTCAAAACCAACATATTGTACAACAGAGAAACTTTGTACACGTGTGATCACGACTCAACTGACATCAGCTTCAAATACAGGGAAACTTCAGAGAGACCATGAGACGAGCTGAGCAGGAAGCTGAGACACACCGATTATACCTGCAGGTCAGCGAGTCAAACACCAGGGGGAGACAGCATCCTGCACATAAACCTCACACTCAGTCATTTACTTTAATTTCATTCTGTTCTCACAAATTAATACATTTCCAAAATAATTGAATGTATTTATGAATACATTAATAGTAGTAGTTATATTGCATTTACACTCTGACAAAGTGTTGAAAAGTATAATTGAATGCAAATATAAGTAAAAAATAAGAATTAAATTTAATCAAAGACACAAAAAAAACACATCAGTGTCACCATGTTATTATAAATATTATTGTTGTTATTGTTACTATTATTGTTTATTAGCATTTCATCAAATGCTCCAATAAACCACTTCTAAACATCAATTATTCATAAAATAAAAATGCTCAAACACAAACACTAGACCTCAGACTCTAATAACGTTATAAAACACAACATGGCTGCTGCTCATGTGCCTGTGAGCTCAAAGCACAGATGTACGACAACACGTTTCAGCCTCTGAACTTCCTGCTCGGCTCGAAGGCCTCGTCTGTCCGACCCGCTCACAACCACTAATTACATCAAACAATCAAACCTTTTGTAAAGTGAGAACAGACTGTTTCCTTCGGCAGGTTCCACCGTCCATTCACCGGAGGATGTTTCTGGGTGTTTCTGCAAAAGCTTTTAGCCTTTTTTCTTTTTTCTCTTTTCTCGTCCAAGGCCACAAAAGAAAACGTTCACCACTTTCTCTAAATGTCACCCGGGTTACATGATGCTGCCGGAAAAAACACCGTGTCGGAGGATGTTTGTAAATGAATAAAAAGAGTTTTCACTGCCGGCTGACTCACTCATGTAATTACGAGGATTCCATAGGAGCAACAGCATAAGAAGGTTGAGAAATAATAAGTTAAAAGATTTCTGAGGGTAGATATCAACACTACAAATGACGTTTTCACAACTTTTCATATTTTCTCTGATGAACCTGCTGATGATTGATTATTTTTCTCACCTTCGCACATTTTTCCTATTGAATCATGAGAAACTATGACTTTCTTCACACAGGCGTGTTGATATTATCATGTGTAAACCACGTCTCCACTGAAATCAATGAGGTATTTATGTTTCCCCCAAAAAACATCATCACCTGCTCAAAGTTCAGGGCTAGAGTTAAACAACAGGAAATACGATCTCTAATTAACTTCAGTTACAGGAATTCAAAACTTCCTCTATTGAGCAGCGGCTGTTTCAGTTTTGATTCCCACAAACGACTCAGTGTGTCTGAGCTCGGTGGTTGCTGAGGAGATGAAAGTGTAAACGCCCTCGTCTCCTGATCCAGAATCTGGAAAGCTGCTTCTTCTTTTGTTCTTTGTCACAGTTTCCACTTCCCTGCTCGTTAAATATTTTCTTTTATTCTTAGTAGTTTAATGTGGAAAAATGTCACATTCTGTTGTTTTTTTAGGCCTTTTAACATAAAATCTGAAGTGTTTTTCTCTGGAAAAACAGTTTTCAAACACCGAGTGCTCGATAAGATCGTCTGTGTCTGTGTCACCTGGTTTTTCACCGGAGTCACCATGCCCTCCTTGCGGTAGTCGACGAATTTTGGGAGTTTGGACACCCTCTCGTCCAGAGCCATGGTGAAGCTGCGCTGGCGTTCCAACGGGACCTGCAGGCCGGTCATCTTCTCGGCCACTTCCTCTGACGTCTGCGTGAACACAGATCATGTTTTCAGATTAGTCAGATTTAAGATTTTGTGCAACTGGATTAAAAAACATCAGGAGCCACCAGGAGAGCAGAGGTCGAAGGGTACGCGTTACATCACACTGATAAAAGATGGTGTTGAAACTTTGCTCGGTTCCTGGAATAATCGTGTGAGATAAAACTGTTTTGGGAAAGAACAAGAGAAGGGAGGAGGAAGGGAGGATTTAATTTTAGACTTAAGAACAACTCAGAGACGATATGCAGGAGGGAGGATTTGATTCAGCACGGTGACGGAGGGTGAAATGTATTTTATGAAGAAACAGGTTTAACTCTCGTGAAATGTCATGATTCCTCGTGCACAGTGCAAATGTCAGACAGGAAAAATTAATCAACAGTTGAAAAGCTACAACATTTACACGATAATGTAAAAAGGGGAAATGAAGTATAGAAGAATAACTTATATAAAAGTTCTTCAGTCTATAAACAAAAAGGCCACAAATGAAAGAAACACACACCATCTGCTCATTTCTCTCATTTCACTTAAACACATCCTTCATTTCCGAGCCACCTGTTCTCAAACAGACATAAAATCCTCCATTTATCCTGAAATCAGACGTGTGTTCATGTTCCTGACGCTTGATGAACGAGCCCAAACAATGTGAGCTTGTTTTACCGCATCATGAAAAGGATCATTAACGACGGCTCATATTAGTTTGAGCTGCAACATGAGCGATGAGGAGAAAAAGAGAGAACGTCGACAGCAGGCGAGGAGGAAAAAAAGGTGAGTACTTGAGATCAGGACCAGATTTTTCCTGCACACGTCCCTGGAGATTAAACACGTTTAGCGCTGGTGTGAAAATGAAACGCTAGTAAACGCTGTTAGCAGACGGAGCAGTTATCACTTGTAAGAGCTGCTAATGATCTTTAGGTCTCGGCTCTGAGGAGACAGTGAGACGCTGTTTGGACTGAAGCTGAATCGACTCAGTGCTGATTCTTCGGTTTATCGATCGACAGAAAATCAAACAGCAAATAATCTTTTTAGGCATTTAGACATTTGAATCTCTTTTTCAAATGCTTCTTCTTTGTTCTGTCTTGTTGTTGTCCACTTTGCTTCTGTGACTCAGCCGGTTTCAACAGATTATCTTATCTTATATCATAACACATGAAGGCGTCACATTTGGTGGAGGGAAGTTTTTTACGGGGGTTTCCTCACAGAGAACACACAACACATGCATCAATAATAAAAACAAGTATTTGTTAGTGTTATATGTGAACGGCTCACACAGGCTTTATAATTATCGTTCCTGCTGTGGCTGTGGGTCATTTCTTACTTGATTAACCTGAGACAGATGTTGAGCAGCTGCACTGAGCCACTGATATCATGGATAAACAACAGTGCAAACTGGTTTTCAACTTATTCCCATATCTGAAACTGGTGAGCTGCATGAGTTGTGTCTGTGGGACATGTATGTTTTTAAAGTCAGAGGGATGTGTGATGGGGTTTTTCCAAAGGTGACAGGGCAGAGGAGGCCAGACACAGACGTCATGAGGAGTCATTACAAGTTAAACCTTTTCTCCACATCGCTCACGGCTGCTGGATCGGCCTCGCACTCACCATGTCTCCCAGGTGGTTCATCCCCAGCTCGTAGGAGTGCATACCCAGCGCTGCCTCCTCGTTGTGGGCCACGATCATTCTCATGTTCTTCTCCCAGACGGCCCTGCGGATCCCCTCCTCGCCCTGACACAAACACAAGAGCAAAATAAATGAGAGAGATGAGAGATGAAGGATACTTGTTTTGAGATTTAAGATTTCTTCTTTGAGAGGCCGTAAAATATCAGAGAAAATTCACTGTTTGACTCAAAATGAAGTTTGATTTAACTCGTGCACCAACACCTGACAGCTGAGAGAAATCAATCTGGACAAATAGGACAAATTTACATTTTAATTAGCAAAGAAAAAAGAAGAAAGCTGTGTTACTGCCCCACTTCATTAATTAGGACAGTTAAACTGGTGCAGGTTAACAGGTTTCCCTCGAGCAGCTTGTATAGTTACTGCAACACAGCTGTCCAAAGCAATTATTGTCTGTGACATGTTGGTTTAGCTTTAACTTTCAGAATATTAACATCCAACCAGAGACTGAACTGCAGTTAACGACATGTATATGATGTCAGTGCTGCTGACAGTCTCAATAGAGGATTTAATAGAGTCAATTGCTTGGTTGGTTGGTTCCCTGAAAAAACGTCCCGAGCTTCATATTCATGGTCTGAAAACCCACTGGTGTAACTCTGATCATTGTTTCTGTCTCATTTCAGTCCCACTAATGGAAAATGCAAATTGTGCACAAAGACAGATTCTATTACCGCGAGGAACCGATGGAGCAATAGTGATTAAAATCACCGGGATAGAGAGAGAGAGATGTAGAGTCTGTTCTGCTGACTGCAACAACACATCACGATCATATGAACGCACGTCCACGCAAACAGAGACAAACACACACATCACGCTCTGCAGCTGAGGAGCGCTGACCTCTGGCTGGAGGCTGAAGACAACAGATGTTTACCACCAGCTAAACTGTGTTTGTTTCCTTTTTCACAGCCGAGAAGGAAAACACAACAAAGAGCAAGAGAACGAGGAATTCTAGAGACAAGTGAAGCAGTAATTTCCTCCGTTCCCCTGAAATGTGCGACACCTGGTGACGGCTGCACTGACAGTCTGAGATTCACCTGATGTTTTATTTGGTGTTGACGAGACAAGAATCATCTCTGTGCCAGACCTGAAATCAGAGGGAGGAGCACTGGTCGCTCTACTTCAGTGTTTTGGCTCGAAGTGGGAACGAGACAGATGGAGTCAGAGCAGAATCAAAAGTAAAGCAGGACGTGCACAATGAGAATTACAGCAGGACGTCCTCCTCGTTCTCAGCCAGTAACTTCATTCCCAAAAGGCTGCAAACTGAAGTTAATGTTTATTTATTAATTATTAGAAGGACGGAGACGTTTCATATTTACTACTGGTTCTTCAATACTTTCTGCGCCTCCAGATACTAAAGGTCATAATTTAGTGCGACACAAATAAAATAAAATGAATTTGAAAATTGAATGTAATGTTTGCAGCAGAGTAAATATCCAGCAGACACCGAGCCGCAGAGCAGACTCACTCTGAACTGAGCAGCTGATAAACTAAGTCAGACGCAGACAGACAGTGAGTCAAACACAAAGACGTCCAGGCTGAACGTCTGGCTGCAGCCCAGAGAGACAAGAGGGAGCAAACAAAGCTTGACTGAAGACAGGAGACGAGAGTAAAAGAGAAGTTGGGTAAATGCATCAACTGCTGCACCAGCAGATTGTGGAGCTATATTGAAACTCTAACATCTTTTTCCTGAAGGGTGCTTTGCTGTCTCTCTGCTGCTCAACACATGTCAAGTGAGATATATCTTTAGGAATGTGCATCAGAAGTTTGAATTTATCAGAGTTAACAAATGTTTTATTCATTCGGTTCATAGTTCATGTCGGTATTAAAATATGAGGCTTCACCACAGATTCGTGCGGTTTATAATTAAGCACTGTCACTCATGCAGCTGGAAACAGAAGTTTAAGCGGAGAAGCGGAACATTTGTGTTCCCATTTATTAACATTTCCCAGATTATGTCAATGTGAAATGTTTTAGAATCACAAGTCATCTCCTTGTGATCATATTAAGCTTGTTTGTCGTGCTCATGACAGGTAAACTGCTCTCAGACCTGCACACAAATCTAAGAGTCAACGTCTCCAGAACTTTTCCTGCAGCCCCCACAATGTCAGAGTGAGTCCATAGAGCTGGAAACTGGACGGCTGTGTGGATGGAAAACTGGATGGATCACTGCATATTTGTCAAATCGCGGTTTGTTTTTGGGATATTTCCACATTTGCTATTTTAAAATGGGCAGCTTACGGCTCACATCCATTTTGTCCAGGCCACAAGAAAACCAGAAGAGCTGCATCATGGCCTAAAGTGGCCCACAACAAAATGACTGATGTTTCTACAGCAGGATTTTATACGTCATGTTGGTTCCACATACCTGTCGTCTGTGTTCTGAGCGTTTATCACCTCAACATTTCTCACATTTGTCTTTTAACCTTTTTATTTTGCATTTCACAAACAGGAGGACAGAATCCACTGACCAGGCCGTTGTATTCTCTCCTGTGTGTGGTCTTCCACTGGTCCCACTGGTCGTCCAGGAAGGCCTCATCCAGGTGGCTCAGAGCCGAGGCCGCCAGCAGCAACACGCACACGCACGACAACATCCTGGAGGAGCGGCAACGCACAAAGTCTCATGTTTCACACTCAACAAAAAAGCCTGCAGCAGCATTTTACTGACACATTATAGTTAAAGGCTGAGATTCAAACTGACAAATGAAAACTGAGCTTTATTTTGACTCCGGCTGTACAAGCTTGTGATATACGGTTTATTGAATATTAAAGGAATAAACCATTTATTAAATGTATTCATGCTTCTTAAAGAAATGCTGAATGTGAATTGTGTACGTGTGTTTCTGTCGAGTGGTTTGTTGTCAGTGTATTTTCAGCTTTGAGTCATTCTCTCGACTTCAAAAACAAAGTTTTGCTGCAGTCTGAACTTTTTCGTTTCTTCCCTCTGTTTCCTGCCATCTGTTATTCATCAGCTCTTTCTTTCACCTCTTCCTGTCTGTTCTCTGCATTTGTTTCCAGTTAAGTTCACTGTCCTGCTGAGTTTAACTGAACTGAACTAAAAACATCTTGTTTTTCCATTAACTTGTGCAGTGAGCTGAGATTTAATCAACCAAAGCTTCACCTTTGGATGATTTGAAGTAAAACTCTAGATTTAAATGTCACAGTCTGACGATCTGTGTACAAGTCATTTACAGTTTACAGGAACTGGTTTGTGCTCGGTGCTGCACGAGTCGTGAGAATTCTCCTGGTGCCGGCATCTGTCGGTTTCAGAAATGATTCTTCTCATCTGTGTCTCATTGTAACATTAACTGTGCAGAGTTACGACGGCAGCCCTGACTCCCAAAAATCCTTCTATTGAGATGCAACAAAAAAATCTTCCTCTTATCCTCGTCCTCTTCAAACTGATTTCTTTCATAGCTGGAAAAATCACTTGAGGATTTATCAGAGCCTGAATATAAATGAATGTAAAGAGTCAAACCTAAAGTTTTTACAGGGAAACTACTGTTTCCTATTTCTGCATCGTTGCAGTTCAGCTCATGCATACGTTGGTTTAAAGTTGGCACATTACTGATCCTCTCAAATGCACAAAACAGAGTAAATCAATAATCAACAATAAACTTTACCTTTAGTCAAAAGTCTGAGGGTTTGGTGAAGTCCTGAGCGTCTGATGTCTTCGTCCTCTGCAGTGGAAGTAGGTCAGTGTGTGAGTTTATATGAGCTGGATTTTGAGGAAGTTCAACGGGAGCTTCAGGTCTGAGGAGGAGGGTTTTGTCTCCATGTAGGGGAATCACATCTGGTTTCACTCAGAGGGTGAAGACCTCTGAACCAGATGCTGTCAGGTGTCAGATTACATCGAGTGAAGAGAAGTGCTGCAGAGAACTGAGGAAGACATTTTAATAATAAACTGAAAACATAAAGCTGAGCTTTGTTCTTGGCTGATTTATACAACATGTCTTTTTCACATCTGTGACCAGAGGTGTCAGGTTTTCCATCCATGTTCTTGTGAACGCGACATCTCATCATCGCCTCGAGGGAATCTGTTCAAATTTGGCTCAATTACTCACTTGGACTCAAAGATGAGCTGATTGGATTTTGGAGGATAAAGGTCGAGGATGCGATGACCTGATGTCCTTCCTACACATGTGGGGGCAACATACCTGCGCAAACCCTAACTCAACACTTCATGTGCTACTCAAGACAAAATGTCATAGTTGAAGTAAATCCCCTTTGTCTTCAAAGTCATTAAAGTAAACTGCAACTTGAACGTTTGGCGGAAAGTTCAACTACACGTATAAGTCACCGACTCTTATTGTTTTTACATCATACATGAAACACAGATCACTTTGGTGCAGAGAACAGAGAGCATCACAAAGTGCATATTGTGATTGTTCACACAGTTTGTTCCTCCACAGACGTGTTCGGAAATCTAAATATATAAAAACCTGCATATACTCGCAGTTAGAGCCGGAGTGGAGGGCAAACAAGATTATGAATCTTTTAACATCTGAATATTTACCAGTTGTCGATTTTGCCACTAAACATTTATAATTGATTGAATGTTCAAGCTCGTTGTGTTTGTTGGACGGAGGCTCAGGAATCGTTAACAGTCCATGAACACATTAAAAAACTTCATCACGAGCATCAAGTGATTTGATGACGTTTCCCACACAGGAGCCAAAATATCTTTGACATGATCATTATTGTCTGGATGCACACTTCCTCATGCTGTTAGTCAACGTCCGTCAGGTCTGTGTGTATATGTGAACTGTCGTGTGACTACTGCAGCCGTCAGACTCACATGTTTAAATATAGTAGCGTCGCGTGTAACTCATATGTTCAGTGATACACGGCCGTGTTCTGATTCATTCATGTAAGTGAACAGCAGTTTGAATGGAGAAGCTTCACAGCTCGAACTTCACCTCAACTAATATACGACTATTACATCCGCACTTAATTCACCATGATGAGACAAATTTGCATTGACTTATATTTAAATTGAGAAAAAATTGAATTTCTAAATAAAATGTTATATTTTTGGTGATGCACTGAGTTTCCTGTTTTCCTTGAGTGATCATATTTTAAACTAGAACTCAGTAGAGCTCATGTCTCCATCAACAGCCCCCTCATGAAACACTTCAATTTACCAGATCCACACTAACTCACACACTCAATCATCAGTCATGTCGGATTTATCTCATCATGATCCACAAGTTGAAGTCGCCGTCTTTGGTTGATTTGACTGAGAAACACTTTGGTCATGTGATATCATGTCATGGTCCCCAGAGGACGAGTCCCAACAATGTTTGTGAGACTTTTGGAAATTATCCTTGAGATACACAGTCGGGTTTTGTGTTTGGACTCATTCTTACCTACTGAATTATTATTAAGATTGTATTGGGAAATGTAATTATCACATTATCATCATTACTGTGAACAATAATAATAAAACTTTATTTGTGTTGCATTTAACTGAACAAAGTTACAATGAGCTTTACAAAACAAATATGAAAGATATCACGTCACACTTTAATCGTGTAATATTACGGCTCTGGTTCAGGAAGTGCACTTCTCATTTATTTTCTCTTTTCAGATTTTGGCCTTTCAGAAAATCCTCCTGAAAAGAGTTTTAATCCTGGAACCAAACCAGTTCGACCAGTAACGACACGAATCATTAAACATATGAAAACAAATATTTGTGAACGGGAAACAGGCACAAGACTTCTTAATTATTTGTGCTAAACATTTCCATGGCAACAGAGAGCTCCACCATCCAGAGATGTTATGATTACGCCTGAGGATTGTGGGTAGTGTAGTATTTCTCCTTGAGATCCTGAATAAAACCTATTTTTCTTAATGAGCAGTTGATATCAAACAAACTTGAGGCTTCTACAGGAGCAAATTACATCACTTCACAATCTCGTGGTAAATCTACCCAGGATGGTTAAAATATGATGGCTGATAATTAAAATCTCTATTCAGATCTTTATTTCCGGAACCACATTGTTGAGGTCTTCAACGAGGTAATCTTCCTCTACATGGGTGTAATGTACACTGTTGCCTCTATAGGGGGCATTGTTTTACCCTCCCCTCGTGCCCCACGTGTAATAAAACAATGTGTTGTAGGTGCAGAAGTTACAGACGTACAACATCGTCAGCAGGACAACATGAAGTGATGAGAATCACTAATGGAGCTCTCGGCCTCTGAAGTCTGCAGCTTCCTCAAGGTCACGACGTTTCTTCGTGTGCTGAGAACTCAGGAGCTGCGCAGAGTTCAGATCTGTGGCGTGTTAGGAACAGCGGCTGCAGGCGGGCGGCTACAGGCGGGCGGCTACAGGCGGGCAGCTCAGCCTCTCATCACTCACAGCTCACTATCTGTCCCGTCCATCGATTTTCTTTTTTTCCTCTGAAGTGTCCACTCGCTGGGCTCCACCAGGCAGGAGCGAGCGTCTTAAGCTGCTTCCAGAGCCTCCTGGTTCCAGTGTGGTCACTTTAGATAATGAGACTGGTGGATGAGGGCGTCCAGAATGATCCATTATCCAGCTCCACCCTCCAATCTCAGCACCGGCGGTGAACATACCATCAGGCAGGAGGTCACGACCTGTGTGTGTGTGCGTGTGCGGCTGCAGGCGGTGATAGATTTATAATCCAATATTTCTGAGTAAGGCTGTTACCGAGCGGTCGATGGCTCTATTTTTACCTGGAGTGTTTGAAAATCTATTCATATCTCTGTTTTACGCTGATGTTGAAAAAGCGTCTCTGTACTTATGGCCGCCATTATCCCGTTGATGTGATTGATTCGTGGTCAAGTTACTTCTTCATCTTCTTCTTCCTCATCTTTGTCTTCTTTTTAGTCTTTTTCCTTCATAGTCCTCGTCTTCTTTTTCATCGCCCTTATCGTCTTCTTCTATTTCATCATCTTCTTTGTCCTCTTCTCTGTCACCTTCTTTATTTCATCATTCTCTTCTTTGTCCTCTTCTTTTTCATCACCTGATCATCTTCTTCACTGTCTTCTTCCTCTTCCTCTTCCCCGTGTGGTGCCACATCTGTTCCCCATTTCAAAACCACAAACCCGCAGGATCCCAGGATCCTCTGCTCCGTCACATGACCAACCTGCTGACTCAGACCAATCACGGGCTCCTCGCTATTAACAGAATGGTGAGAAGTGATCTCACATCACAGCTCTGCAGAAAAAGAAAAAGAAAAAGAACAACGACATCCCATTTTCTATATGCATCCTCTGATCTATACCGATCCCCCGGGGACAGATTACGTCATTCTCACATCGCTGCCTGTTGTCGAGCTGAAGCAGCAGAAACCTCAGGCCTCATTCATGTAGAGACAGAGAGAGGCTTTATATCCTGATCTAAAGTCTGTGCACTTTTCACTGACCAGTGGAGAGATTAGAGCGGCAGACACCAAAGAGGTTTTAAAGGCTTGTTTTGATTCCAGCAGATTAGACTGTGTTGTCTTTTTTTTTTCAATCTCAGCTCAGATTGTTTGTCTGGGAAAAAGAAAAAAACAGGAAACTGTGTCCAGAGAAAAACTTGTTGTTGTTGTTTGGGCCAGAGTTTTTCTGAGTGTTCAAATATATTTTACCTGGAGGAGTGAACTATTAAAGTGTCCGTCACACACTGAAGTTACTGTATATTAGAAATAAACTGATTGTTGATGTTTAAATCGTTTATAAAGATCCACTTCTTCTCACTGAAGATTTGATTCTCAAATATTTAAAATATTTATGATATTTAACACTTTATGGCTTTTATATTTTCTATGTACTAGTACTAATATGTACTTTTATATTCTTTTACTTTTATATTTCAAGCCTGTTCAGCCCTTTGCCCTGTGGGCTTTATATATAAACTTTGAAATATAATCATTTAATTTTCAAACAGCGAGCAACAAGTGTAATGATTTTTATATCATTGAATTTTTTTTGCCTGTTTCCATAAATTACTTCAAATTTCTGATGTTTATGCCAACATAATGAAAAAGTGATTATAATCTGAGATGAAAAGAGGTGGACGGAGACTTGAATAAAGACTTGATCAGATCACATTTAATAAACTAAGGCAGCTTGTGATTGGAACTAATGATGAATGGGATTTTATTCTGACCTTAGAATTTCATTTGTCTACATCTGTCCAGGCACCATCGGGAATATTTCTCCTTTTATCTCTAAATCTATTTTTCCAGGTTAATCGCTCCTGGGTTCTTTTCCGACGGATCCAGATGAGTTTCTGATATTGATTTTAAAAAAACAAACACAGAAACAAAAGAGGTGTGAGCAGTGAATGTGAGATGAGCGCTGAAGAAGCTGAAGATGCTGAAGAAGCTGGAGCTGGGTTTTTAAATCAGCTCTGACTCTTGGCCTCAGCTGCTGCGATGCTGTGGTGATGGATGGTTTGCGAGAAGAGAACAGACGGAGGAAGGAGACTCCTCGTCCTCGGAGGAGTCCGGTCCCTCAGCAGGAGATTCGGCGGCACCGGACGAGCCGCAGACGTCTGACGGTGGAGATTCGGATTCATGATTCTGCACTCTGATGATCTCTGAATCACCTTAACACACATTTTCAATACATCACTGTGATTGTTTCTGACCCGATGTGTGTGTGTTCTGTTTTCTAACCAGTTCATATTAGAGCAGCTGGAAACCTTTAAAACCGACTTTTCATTCCAAAATGTACTGAAAAGATCTTTTAATGTTGATTCTTACTTTTTAATTCTAAAG